AACACTTTGCGTTGGAAAGCTTCATTGCTTCATGAGGCGTCACTTGCCCATCACTACTCTTAGGTCCAAGCAATAGTACCAGTAATCAGTCCTTGGAAAGTGTGTGTCCCACCTTACTTGATGAAAAGGTCCTATCACCTGCTGGCCTCCAGAACTAGGGGAGTTATTTTGGTGGATGTTAATAAAGGTAACTTTTAAATTGTTAAGATAGTAATTTTAATAATATAATGATTGTCATACTGAATGCAAAACTGAATGTAAAACTGTAAAACTGTTTTTTCCCTTTGTTAAAGTATAGGCTGTACATTAGTTGTTTGGGCCTGTATAGACTTTTTTGGACTGTGTCAAATTGGATTGACTTAGGGGCACCTTTGCATGTTTTGTTTGGTTTTTATGTGGGCTTCGTTTGGCCATGTCATATTGATATTATTGGTGTTTCCCAACTGTATATTTATTATTGATATTTGCACAACCCCCAATTCCGCCATTTGTACACTTGTAATGTTTTAAATACAGCCCATCAATGAACTGTGTTGCCACATATTTTAGAACGACTAATAATGATGCTTTTATATTTCTGCAAATAAATGTAAAAATATTTTACTACTAATTAAGTCTCTTTACACTGTATTTTACACTTGGTCACATAGGTATTTGCAAGTAAGGCATATAATTGAGGAACTTGAAAAAAAGATAAACTTTGAAGAATTGGAAACAGGGATAATAATTCAGATGTTTATCCCTCTCCAGGCAGATGTTTCAGATTTGCAACAGCTAAATGCTACTTAGCTAATTACTCCACATCCATATTTTAAGAGCTTTTGTTAGTCAGAAGTAGGGCTGTTGTAAACGAATATTTTAGTAATCGAGTAATTTATCGATTATTCTTACGATTAATCGAGTAATCGGATAAAAAAAAATTTATAAAATAAACTATTGGCAAATCTGCAATAACACCAGTTAGTCCAGATCAGTCCAATAGGAAAAAAATAAACTTACTCAAAATGTAAAGGTTTGAGTTTGTACAGAGTTCTGCAGCCTTAACTAGTCATGATAAAATGCAAAAATGTTGCTATTTTTATTAAAACGATGCTATTATTTATTCTTGATTGCTTAGGTATA